CCCAAGTTGTTTAGCTCTTAAGGGGAAAGCGGGCGGCATTTTTTTTTTTTTTTTTAATGACTGAAGTTTCTCCTTCACTGTGGCTGTGAACCCAAATACCTGAGAGTCAGAGGAGTCTGCAAAGAGACTTTATACAGGTCTTTAGTTGTCCCTTTCAGCCCTCATGTTTGCATCCTAGGGGTTTCGGTCAATACCCGTGCTCCATATTTTTTGTTTCTGGAATTTATTAATGTTACTGTTAGCCATAATTCTTTGTAAGACTTCCTGTCCTGGAGAAAGGCTGTCTTTTATGTCTCCCCTCTCACCAGCTACCTCAGGAGGCCCTCATCAGCCAGAATCTTGATACAGTTTCAATCACTGCTTTTCTGTGAGATAATCTGTAAACAGCTAAATGTTAACAAAGAACCTTAATGGTAAAGTGTTCCTGTTGCCGTGGATGAGCTTTTGCTTTCAGAATCCAAGTTTAGCCCTCCTTTGCGTTGTTTATCACGCTGGCTGCCAGGGGCCTTCCCAAGAGCAGGCAAGGTAAGGGGTATTTCAAGTCCATGGTGACCAACGCAGTTAAAACTCACCTTGTGGGAAACAGCAAACTGCTAGACTCTGTCTCTAAGCACCCACCTTTGGGACTCTGAAAAACAAAACCCCCAAAGCAGCCTAATTCCTTTCACAGCAAACGGTGCTGAGTCCCAGCTAACGGGAATATTGTATGGAATCGCTGGGAGCTCCTCCCCCTCTTTAAGTAGAGTACAGTTTGGTAATATACTACACATATTTATATACGATGTAAATATACATATGCACAGGGTAGATGTTTATGTACAGAACATAACAAAATATATACATACCCCAACTGAATACATTTGCATATAACATCGCGTGTGTAATATACCAAACTTATACCATTAACAATACATTCTATCACAGATAGTCTTAAAATAAGAGGGCGTGAGGAAACTTTACTCGTGTTGACAAATTTTCAAAATGAAGCGGAAACGTGCCGAGTCTGGATGACACCACAGAAATCCGTGAATAATAGATTCATAGTGCTATTACAAGCACACTCCATTTAAACTCACCATAAACTTCACTTGTTTTCACATGGAATGAAAAGGGCAATCTACTTGGAAATACACATCTAAAATATAAATACCTAAAATTAGGAGCCTTTTCCAGGGCTTTTTAAAAAAATGTATTACATACCATTATTTTAGGACAAAAATTAAATTCCGGATGTACTGACAAACAGCAGTAGTTTTATTTTCCATTCTACTATAAAGACAATATTTTGATTCAGTTCATTCTATGGCCTCTCTGTGCATTAAAAGACAGACTAATGATAATTCAACATGTGAAAGCAGATTTGAAGTGTATAATATGTTTATACTTAAAACGACTTGTATCATGTGGGATAGCGCGTTACTGATTTGCTTCTTTTAAATGGTACTTCGAATTTTTGGAATTTTCCAAGGTGGTTTTTGAGACTGAGAATTGCAGTTGGAATGGGAATTACAGTTAAAATGAATATAGTGGCACTCATTGGCAAGGGTCCAAATGCTCATTTGTGCTGAGGGAATGTACAGAAATGCTGTACCTGAATTTTATTTTTTTAAAAGCCATTTGTCCTAGTTGATAAAGGAGTCAAAAACGACAGAGTTTTGAAGTTTTCTTGGTGCTCATGCTAGCAGGAGCTCCGTCATGTAATGGGAGTTATTTCACTGTGACTACAAAATATTCTGTGTTTCCATGTTTATGTCAATGTGTAAGTCTTTACTGCACAACATATATGAAGTTTACAATGATACTTACTCCCACGTGTAATGAACTGTTTATTTACTTCAGAGAGCGTAGTGAAAAGACTGAGGATTCTTTGGTGGGGGTCTCGGTTTTAGTGATGACCTTTGAAAATGGAAATTGGTTTAGCCCAACTACTATTTCAGGTCTATTTTGTAATGCCTTAAAAAGTTTGTAGTTAAAATGGTGGAAGTACCACAAGTAAAAGTTTTCAAAAATATAAAAAAAGCTTTTACTTGGAAAGCAGTGAAAGCAGTTTGCTGTAGTTAGGGTTTAAGATCCACTGCAAAAAGAAGTGAGTCTTTTATTTGAGGAAGTTTTCTGTCTGGTGGTGTGGCCTGACGTGAGGAGACGTAGCCTGCATTATGGCTTCAAAAGGTACAATGTTCATTCAAAAATTTGTATGAAGAGCCATTCACTACCGAATTGTAAAATAATCTTTTCTGTCAATTTAATTAATGAAGTGGGTAAAGGACCATTTTAGCAGGCTCAAATTACACATGTAGAGAGATTTGTAAGAATAAATACTTTGGCATTCGGCGGCCTAAAAGCAGGCAGAACTATAATATAGCAAATAAAATTCCCTAGAACGTAGGCATCCAAAATTCAATTTCATTAAAAAATTTGGCAGTTCAAGAGAAGAGGCAAAATGCTTATTAAATCAGGGTAACTATAAAATGTTGACAGATCTCAAATCCCATGTCCAACCAGGCTCTTCGAAAACTGCTGGGATGTTGGTGGAGTACAAGTTTTTATGTCAAACCGTTTTTCATAGTTAATTATCTTTTCAATACCCTCACATTGAAACTCCAACTTCATAGACCGGCCATTCTCTCCCCTTCTCTCTTTTCTCCGTCCTTCTCGTCGTCCTCCCTGCCTCCCTTCCTTCCCTTCTTCTTGCTTCTTTCCTTTCTTTCTCTCCTCTGTCTGCCCTCCTTTCTTCCCTCTTCCTCTCCCCAAAGCCCGGGTTTGCAAACAGCTTGAATGAGGCTAGGACAGTTCACAGAGACACTGTGTGGGCAGGAGCAGTCTTCAGCCTCAGTGACTAGGCATTGCCAGTGGCCCACCTCTGATCCACTAAGGTGTGTCTACGCTGTCTCAAACATTCATTTTCCTTTCTTATTCAACCACCAGCATCTCGTAAAGAGAGAAGCAGACGCTCTCTACTGAAGGCAAAATAAACTGGAGACTTGGATTAATTATTTGGATAATTCAGCTCTGCTGTGCTCCGTTCCTCCTAGCTACTTAGAAAAAGAGAAGAAAAGAAAAGAAAAGAAAAAGGACGTTGGAATTTGAACACTAAATTGGCTATGTATTGTGATTCCATTTGTCAGACAGCAACTAATTCCAAAAGCGATGGCTTGATTCCTTATCTTACCAACGTTAGCAGAGGTGGACCCACACCCCTAAACGGTCCTCCACTTGGAGCACATTGTACGGAAAAGATGTTTACCCCAGATTTAAACACGGGAGCTTGAGGGGTCGGACTTGGCAGAGTTCGCTGGTTGCATTGATTGGAGTTATTAAATAATTGTTCACTTTTCTACTTTGCCCCATGAGAGGAGACACATGCACGAATTATAAAATACTTTGAATTAATGTTAAGTAGACCAACTGGGATGACTAGCGTTATTTACATTTAGCGATGAATTAAAATGTTAACGTTATACATTTATTACATTAGGATCTTACAGCCTCCTTGTCTGCTCTGACATGGACATGTTTGCTGAACACATTTTCAAGGTGTTTTTAGGGCATACAATTTTCTAGCATAATTTAGTGTATTAAAGGTGCAGTCCTTTTTCTTCCTGGGGGGAAGGAGGGAACAAAATCAAGAGAGTAAGAAAGAACAAGTTAAGTATCATAGGTGATAATTGGGCCCATAGACTGTTTGAAGTGGCCTGTGGTAGAGAAGGATAAGATAGATTTGGGTTTAGTCTAAAAAACATTAGTAAACGTTCATTACAGGCAGCTTTTATCAAGATATCTAGTTGCAAGTAGTATTTTGAAAAGAGTACCTAGACTTTCTATTTAAGTGTTGCTTGCTTTCTCAGAAATTCCTGGAAAATTATGTCATTTCCATTTTGCATTCATCTAATTAGATAAGCTGAACTATTGTTCTAACACATAAGGCATGAGTAGTCCAAGAAGAAATAAAAATGTGTGCTAGATAAGAAGAAAACGTTGCTGATTTCATTTTTCAAGAGACTGGCTCAGTGAAAACCATGGGCCACTAATACCTTACATTTATTTACAAAGTGGTTTATTACAGTAACAGAAATTGTATTTCCAGATTAACCTTTAACAAAGCTTTGGCTATTTTTCATAATTCCTATTTTCAGTTGCAAAGAACAGAGAGAAGGACCTTGTGGCTTTAATATTTTACTTGCACAGAAATCAAACCTATAGAAAGAAACGGATAAAGGATTTTTAACAACTGCG